GTGGGTGTCGATCCGCAGACACACGCACCTCGCTACGCTACGTCCTACAATCGCCTAACTTTCTCAGGGTGGTGCGTTGTAATGACCTTACCAGTCGTTGTTACATGAGATGCTACATGAGATGTTACATGAGATGCTGTACTTATTATAATACAATTATCCGTACCCTCAGTTCTCAATGATATCCCGAGGCAGTAGAATCGTATTGCTAGCATTAAGAACTTGTTGTGACAAGATACATCGCGGGATACACCAAACTTAATAACTACGAAGAATTACACCTAATTCTAGCATAATTTAAATAGGGTGAGTTAGTAGAAATAGAATACATTTATATGTTGCGTTTAGAAAATATAACACAGTTTTTAAAATATGATTTGTAAAAACTACCTTGACAAACGTAGTTCAATATTATTTTTCAAATATTATCAAGAATAGGTCACGAATGTAACGTCTTTACAGGTACATGAAATAAAAATTGCCATAATGTCGACTTTCATTCTGCGCATTTTGACATTATTAGGCATCTTATTCACTTGTCAAAATTCCGATTTGAATGTTACGACTCAATTGCCACGTCACGTAATACCTGAGCACTATATAGTCGAGTTAGATCTTAGTACAATTGAGAATGATTACTACGTTGGTACATGCTTTCTTTGTCTCAGAATTAATCGCCCAACGGAAAGTATACATTTTTGGGCGAGAAGACAAAAAATATTAAAAGAATCTCTCGTCCCGAGAAAATGAATTCTCGACAATCCTGTAAACCGATGCGTTTTGTACCCAACCCGATAAGTGATTTTGTGGACATCTATTTTGCTAACGAGTTATCAAAATGGCATTACATTTGGCAAATGAATTTTAAAACATTACTGGATGAATTGATTGACAGTATTGCAACTACCTACATAGACCTACAGTCTATGTACAGTCTATGTACAGTCTATGTAGTTGCAACACTGTCAATCAATTCATAAAAAAAAAAAAAATTGGCAAATAGATTTTAAAACATTACTGGATAAATTAATTGACAGTGTTGCAATTAATTCATCCAGTAATGTTTTAAAATTCACTTGTCAATTTTTTTTTTTTAGAAGTTTTCTTGGCAAAACATACTCTCGGTGGCTTGCCATTGCCTTCCAAAAGGAGAACGAGCGAATATAATTTTTTTTTTTAATATAATTTTTCTAGCTCTACCGGGAATTGAACCCGGGATTTTTGACTCATTAGACCAATGTGCTGTCTAATAGGCCACGCTCGTCCTCAGAGTTTGTATAATACACAACACGACAAATGATTTTGTGGACATCTATTTTGCTAATAAGTTATCAGATTAAACCGACAATTATCAAGTGTTTATATTATCTAATACGCTTATCGTTTAAATGTGACAGATGGTTGCTGGAAACGAATAGAACTCGAGATCTATTTCCATGTTGGGACGAACTAGTTTTTAAGGCGATCTTTAACGTTTCTGTACTTCATATTAGAAAATGGGCAATAGAAAACTATTTTATAGGCACGATGAACGCCTGACGTGGACGCACTTCCATGAAACTCCTGTAATTACTCTTAATCTTCTCGCGATTTTGGTATCCGACTCCTCTCTTATTCCTAACAGAATCAATGAGAGAATTAGTCTTCGATGCAGACAACAAACAGCATTGCATTTAAGATACGCAAAAATGGTTATCAAGAATGTCACGCTGCATTTGGAATTTCAATCGAAGCGTTACAAGAAGCTTGCAAAAGTGGATCATGTCGCAATACCGAATTTTCGCTCTGAAAGCATGTATAAGTTGGGTCTTATTTTTTATAGGTAATGCACATATATATACATATATAATAAAAAGACAATGATATACAATTAGAAAGACAAATATTTTCCGTAAAATAAAAAAATTTTATCCAGAAAGGAAGATACTATTTCTAGCATATCGAAATATAAGATACTTGAGTTGCCACGTCGGCGTTACATCTTAGAAATGTCTTCTACAACCGGTCTGTATAATGACGAAAAAGATCTATTTAATGCTTCCTATATAATAACAAATTACTAGTAATAGTTCCAGACGTGCAAAATTGTTTTTACCACATCGACAAGAAAATTATAAGCGTGGTACTTATATGTATATATAAATTGTTCATATTTATACGTTTTAAATTATTGTTTGTTTTTGTTACTAAAGATGATCTTATTACAATTTCGACATTATACGTTATTGATATTTATTTACATGATAATTTATATTTGGCAATAACAACTATTTTGGATCATTAGCCCAATTAATCTCTTCATAGTTAATCTCTAGTAAACCTTAAATTATTTAATTTTTATAGGATATTTATCTTTTTTGTAAATATTATATATTTACTATTAGGCTCGTTGATTTTAATAATAAATACATAATAATAAAAAAAAATGTCAAGAAGTGATTGGTTTTACACGCATTTTATGCATTTACACAAATGTTACTGAACGCACTGCAAATCTAAGTGTTTTATTTTATACACTTTTTTTGCCACTTTTTAAACGTTCACTTTAAACGCTTTTTCGATTAATAAGTGTTCGGTTTTAGTGTTTTATATTTTGTGTGTAACGCAATAAAACACTAAAAATTTATTATTTGCAAGAAAATAGATTTCTTTGAATTTAGTTTTCTTAAAAACATTTTTCTGAGTTTAAAATATTTTCTCGAATCTACCTAATATACTTCTTTGAATTAAAGAACTTAAATTTAAAAAGAAATCTATTTTCTTGCAAATAATAAATTTGTTTCAGTGCACGTAATCAATGCCGTCTCTAATTAAATGTCTATCCCGCGTAAACTCCTATTTAAACTCCCTAAAACTTATAAACAGTCCTAATTTAAAATCAAATTTGCGCACGCTTTTTGTAGGTAATTGCAATTATAATTATAGGTATACTAGATAAAGGAATATAGGGTAGGTAGGAATACAGATAAAAATTAGATAAAAATCGGGTAGGTAGGAAAACGAATAAGTAAAGGTACGAGCAGGTAAGATTATGGGTGGTTCTCGACATTAGAAAGAAACGTTATTAGTATTATAATTGTAAGAAGTTTAGGTAGGAATAAATAAGCATACGGGTAGGTAGAAATAAAGCGGGAGGGTATAATTCAACAATTTATTCTGTATAAAATTCTCAATAAAAATAAATTTTCTTTATAATTTGAAGAAATTTACTTGTGTAAAAATGCAATAAATATAAAAATATAAATATAACGTTAAGAATTATGTAAAAAACGATATATTCTGTCGTTTATCTTACTGATAAACGAAGAAACAAATTACATCAAAAGTAAAAACTGCAGAATAATTATAATAAATTTGTCAAGAAAAGATCAAGAAGATGAGATAATCAATGATGGAAGAAGGAATATCGTAACAAAATTGGGGCGAAAAGGAATAAAGAGAAATCTCTCGTCAAGATGTCGCACAATAGAAGATAAAGCAATGACAGAAGAACGAAAATCAAAGAAAGAAATAGTGGGACAAAAATAAAGATATATTTGTCGTAGAAGGATCGAGGAGGAGGAGAAGAAATAGCCATATAAAAAAGGATAAGCACAACATGAAAAAGCATTGAAGATGAAAATTGCAGTGGAGAAATTACAACAAGTTTATTGAAGAAGAATCGAAAAAGCAGCAAGAATAACGATAGAAAAAGAAGTACCATAAAAAAATATTGTTGAAAATAAATCAAGAAAAATGCTTTGACGAGGCATCGCAATAGAGAAGAGAATATATAGAAGATTGAAGATCGAAAAAATAAATAGAACAAGAAGAAAGAGAAGTGTGTTGAAGAAGGGAATCAAAGAAAAAAAGAAAAAGCGGCCGAAAAGTATGACCGGAGAAGCAAAGTGAAATTAAGGAATATTGAAGATAGAAATTACGGTGTTGAAATTATGAAATATTTATCAAGGAAGAATCGAAAGAAGAGAAAAGGATAATAATGGAGAAAGAAGGATTACAGAAAGACATTGCTGAAAAAGAATCAAGAGACATCTTTCAGCAAGGTATCACGATAGAGGAGACAACGCAACGAAAAAGAAAAATCAAAGGAAAAAATGTAACAAGAAAAAAGAAAAGTTTATCAAAGAAAACTCGAGGAAGAAGGACAACAATGATAGATGAAACGTTTGATTCGTCAATTGTATTTTGTAAGTAGTACATATATAATATAGAGCTATCATTCGTGAGACTGCATGAAATGTATGTATGCGATGTGTACCTACATGTATAATGTTTGCAGGGTATGGAGTTCGGATTTGTAGATTTGCTAAATGAGTGTGCTTGATCAATCATCTCTGCGGAGGTCCAGGATGTCGCAAACTTTATGAATTAAGAATCATTGATGCCACGAATTAATATGTGAGAACTGTCATTATCATCACAGCCCATGCTCGCGGCCAGTTTTGCGGTGAGTGCTATTCTTTGTTAATGTAATATTAATTTTATTGTTTCTTGTTTAAGTATATTTTGACATTAATTAAAGTAATAAAATTATTTAAACAATTTCAGTTTTATTTCTATCGCACCCCTCTAAACGCTATGTAAACGCAAATCCCGGAAGTACCGACCTGTATGTAAACTGCGCGCCGGCCGACGGGATTGATTTATTTTTTTTGACCGAAAATTATCGTCGCCGCTCGCGTAATAGAAAGGGGAACCCGAGTTCTAACATTTAACTCTAGTACGCTGATAGATACACTTTAAACTGGTTTTAGATAACGCAAAATGGAATTTTCGTAGCGCTGCTTTCAGTCCCTCGCTATCTTTGTATGCTAGTTAAACACTGCGATATTCATAGGTCGCAATTAGTCGCTGCCATTTCTAATCACTCGAATAATTATAAATAACGGTGTTTTGGACGCTATTTTTTTCGAACAAATCCCACTTTCTGGGATCTAATTAGGATCCTTTATTTGATTCCTTAAAAAATTCATGGATTCTGGTTGGAAATATTTATGAAAAACATTAGAACGTTTTTTATCGCGATCATGAACAGAAAGTCTGAACAGATCCCGTTTGTTCTTCACAACATTTTTCTAAACATTCTTTCTAATTTTTATTTTATCTTAGAATTTAGCAAAAAACTTAAAACACTTTAAGCATTTACGTTTCACAAGTAACATTTCATAAACATTTAAAGAAAACATTCAAAGTGTTTCAAATTTTGTTCGAGTTCCTTTTCTTAAATTAAATGAATGTTTTAAGCAAAGAAACGTATTGTAATTGTAAGTATAATATCGAAACGGGCGACAAGACTAACAAAAGTGACGACCTTGGCTATTTGCTGTTATACCCCGAGGTTTCGACTTCGATGACAAATGTTTGCTCGGCAAGATTTGCATGTGAATGACTCGTGTCGGGATATTAATCCCACCGTTCTATGTGCTAATAACGCCGTTCTCCGATTATGCAGACGTACTTGACGCATCAAGTGGCAATGATCTGAACGGGTTCCGCACTTCCTCACTTCCGCGGGGATTATCTCGCGCTTCTAAAATTTCTTATCTTTTATTCCTCGACATATGCAAATAAAATATGCCGCAAAAAATTGATATCTTCAGTAAAAAATGGATATCCTCAGACGTCGCATTTGAATCCTTCAATCAAGATTTATTCTCTAAAGCTAGTATATCCTCAACTTATCTCCCAAAATTTTTGTAAAATTTATCTCAAGCCAGAAGAGCCGGAAATTATTTTACACACAATGCAACTTTCTTCATCATGCTCAAGTCTATTTCTAATAAAATGCTTTTAAATGCTTGAATAATTGCTAATCAACTATTTCCAAATTGAGATAATTGCGTTTCTCGATGAAAAAACAGCGAGCGATCCCGTACCTTCAAACCTGAATCCGAATATTAACAATGTCGGTGACGATCCACGTACATATATAATCAAAATTGCGAAAGAGGCTCGAAAGAGGTAACTAAGAATTTCGGCCTCCTCCAAAGTAATCGGCATGTCGGAAAGATTAATGACTCACAGCGTCCTCAGGGTCTTGATGTCGCGCCTTCGAGGTATCGGAGAGATACCAGGCGCAAATCTATGAGCACGCCGTTACTTAAAGTCCACGGTTATCAACGGATGGCCCCGATCACTTCCGGAGCCGCTTCCTAAAGCGGCAAGCACATCCGCGCGGGTGGGGCACAGATTTTTTTCGACATGGCGTATAAAAACGGGAACGACCCGAGTGGCCGAGTATCATTGCATTCGCGCTCGTTGTCGCGAAACTGTGAACTCGTAGAGGTATACAGAGATACTTAGACCGGTACCGAGATCCGATTGAACATCGATCATGCCGTGTCGACTGTTGGCCACCCTCGCGTTCCTCGTCCTGACGACGTCGACGTCGGCCTGGCCGACCTTTCGTCGTCGGGACGTTTTCGACAATGCCGTGGACAGTCCTGGCGGACTGATCGCTCACCTACGAAATCTTGGCAGTTCGCTCTACGGATTCCCGAGTAACGAAACCGGATTGAAGGTGGCCCAATGGCGCGAGGATATGGACGTGAACCCGGAGGAGCTGGGCGAATACGCGGAGGGAGACATCCTGTTTCCGCCGAGCATCGGAAGAAACGGTCTCGCGGCTGTCTCCGCCCGGTGGCCCAACGGTGTCATTCCTTTTATGATTAGTCCTTACTTCAGTGAGTAACTTTGAAAATCTTAAACTCGATACGACAGTTCCTTTTTCCTATTTTTTTCCAAACTGATGGGACGGGCGATCATATCATATTTAAAAAGCGATTTACTGAGTTGTTTTACTATTTTACTATTTTATTATTTTATTATTATACTATTTTACTAATTTACTTAACGATTTAAGCACGAGTGTTAATTGTACATTCAGACAATTGAATTCTTAAATTCATCTGAGCAATTGTGTGTAAGGTTCCCTCCTTTATCGCTTAAAACTATATTTTCATTCTTCCATGAAATCGTAGACGCGCAACAACAGAGAGTTATATACGACGCAATGGACGACTATCACAAGTACACGTGCATCAGATTTAAGCCGTACACGGGCGAGGAGAGCGATTACGTCAGAATCACAGCCGGTAACACCGGATGCTGGAGCAGCGTGGGTAGAATTGGCGGCCGGCAGGATCTAAACCTTCAGGTTCCCGGTTGCCTGACGCAGAAGGGCACGGTGATACACGAGCTGATGCACGCCGTCGGCTTTTTGCACGAGCACAGCAGATACGAGCGGGACGAGTACGTGGACATACTGTGGGACAATATCTCGAACGGTGTGTATTCGCGTCCTACTCATACTCATATCTCGAACGACAAGGCTGACTGAAGGAAAATATCACAATCCTAAGCTCTAACGCCCGTTTGACACACTTTCTCGCGTCACTCTGATTCTTTATCTTAACTGCTAATTTTTTAAAGCTGAAAATCTTGAGCTGATACCTGAGCATCGATTCTTTTTTAATGAAAATTTAATCGAAAACCATGGCATCTTGTCTGTTATTTAGTTATTATTCAATATTAACTAACTTAAATATTTTTGTAATTTTTGAAAATTTCTAGAGAATTTTTTTATCGCTTGTAGCACGAGAATTTAACATTGACGCCTCAATTCCGAAATGTCTTGATACCAACGTCTTCAATACGAAATACGAGCGACTCTCTCTACCGTAAAACTTATGGTCATCGGCGCAATAACCGGCTAAGGTTATCTCCTCTACATTATGAAATTCTATTTTTATCATGTACTTTATGCATGTAGGTCACGCGCACAATTTTAATAAGGCCCCCCCGGAGATCACCCACGCATTCGGCGTCGGTTACGATTACGGCAGCGTGATGCACTACTCGTCAACGGCGTTCTCCAAGAATTATCAATTAAAAACCATCGTGCCCAAAGTAAGCGATTTCTAAGAACATTTTCACATGTGTTCTCTATTATTAATAATATTACTTGCTTTATCATTAATTATATTACTTGACTGGTTTAATCGCTGGACGGAGCTTACGCTGACACGAGCTACCGTGTTCGCATAATTTAATAAAGTACATTTTGCGAATTGGCGAATCGCAAAATCGCATTATATGTTACATACGTGTCCATGTGTTTGTATGTATAGAGACAACTGGATGGTAGCATTTTGGATCTTATTGGCGGAATCTTCCAGGGTGACAGAGAGATAAAGCTCGGTCAGAGGGAGGGTTTCAGCAAGAAAGACATTCTGAAAGTCCGAAGGATGTACAGATGTGGCCAGCGTACTGGCATAATCAGTTACGTCGACGATCAGTACTAATGAATGAACATTGACGATTCAGCAGTTTTCGCATGTGTTGATACAAAAAAAAGACAAAAATCTTGATTAGAGTTAATTAATAAGAATCTTCGCGTAATAAGAAAGAAAGAAAGAAAGAAATATCTAGTCTTGTATGCAAAACGTATGATTATGTCTCTTTAAAAATATGTGAACAGCAAATATCGACAGTATTATTTTACATTAATATAATCATTATCGTGTATATTTCAATGTACTTTATACCTACATAAAGTTACATATTATTATATACAAATGCATTATCTATATATAACACCTTTCTTATTGAATTTTTTATCTTCGTTAATGGTCAAATATTGATTGAGTATCATATATGACGTTATATGAAGTTTGAAAATAAGAGCAGAGAAAATGTATGTGATGGAAATTTTCGATCGATAAAGAGATCGTTACGTAATTTCAATTGCCAATACGTACTCAAATACAAGTAAGGTATTTTACGATAAAATTATTTATTATTTGTACAATTATATCACGAGTAATTTATAGGAGATTGCAATGCATTATGTATTTCTTATAACACAATACCAAGGTTTCTTGCTAGATTTATTTTCGATAGAAATATAGAGGAAGATGATAATCGAACAATACGCTCATTAAAAGTTATCATACTTAATGGTTTTATTTTATTTTTTATAATTTTTTTCAGTTTTTTTTATAAAAGTATTTTTGAATTATCACGGAGTGAAGCATACCATGCATTAAATGTAAAATAAAATCCTGAATTATTATTTAACTGAAATAAGTTATAACTGATTTTTTTGTTAATAAAATTACTTCTTGCTAAAGAATTATCATTTTGTGACGTATTAGGTAAGAGGGATCCATTTTAAAGTGTATTTGTACACTTTACGTATATGTATAGAGTTGAAAAAACATTTTAAATAACATATATTCTTAAAAACTTAAATAACATATAATTTTTAAGAATTTATTTAAGTGCTTTTCTTATATTTTTTAATGCTCAAGTTTGCATTTTAACAAATTTTTAATTTAAGAAAGTACAATTTTTTTCATCTATTATCTTTAAATTTTTAAAATTGCAAAGTGGTTATAATTCAGGGAATATTTCAAGAAAGAAAAATATCAATATTATGTATGACTTCTCGCACTTCAGAGAACATAAACATAAGACGCAAATTTATCTTTGTCACCTGTTTAAACTTTTTAAATTGTTCAAAACATTGCAATAAAAATAAAATTATTTAAATTGTTTTGTATTTATTTTGTCTGAATTTTACAGCACGTACAACATACCTCATCGGTTTTTGTTTTAGAGATTATTCTTTACTTTCTATCTACTATACAAGTTTTATAACAACACAGGCAATCATCCGTTTGATAAAAGCGCAATTTTGCAACAAATTATCGGAAATTGAGAAAATTAAACAATTTTAAAAATTGTGTTTAATTACTTAATATTTAATTTTTTCAAGTGTAATACATGTAACGTACTTGTATTATATGGGAATCAATCTTTTGCTTTCTCTTCCGATAAACAGAATTTTTATGTATAATTATCAAATATATATAGAAAATAAAAAAGAAAGATACAGGTCACAAAAAATTAAAAGTTTATAAATAGATAACAAATAGGTATTTATATTATGTTAATTATTTATACGATGTTATAATTGTATTGTTAAGTGAAAATACACTTATATTAATTAATTTAATGTTAAACAAAAGCTATTACCTGTTTTTAATTTTATATGTTTAATTTAATATAAATATCAAACACCTACAGATGCTAAATTGTTAGACAAAGCTCTAAATTATGTACGAGTGTCCAGATACGCGCAACCAAATAAATTTTGTAATTCTATCCAGAAAAACCAAGACGGTGATAAATTAAATTTTCAACGCTAAAATTATAAAATCAAATTATTTAAATAGATACTTCACTCGAGTCAATGACACCATTTTATCAAATCTTATCTCATTCATATACCTATAGCATATAAGCACATATATAAAAAGGAATACAGAAAAAAAAGGATTGTATATTGATCGTAATTAATTAAATACTCGATTGGAATCAATGAAACCATCTTATCAAGTCTTATCTCACTTATATATACCTATAGCATGTAAGCACATATACAAAAAAGTATACAAAAAAAAAGGATTGTATACTGATCGTCAGTAAAAGTTTGTGTTACCAAATTGCATCTTTGATATGATACTCTTTGATATGACCACCTGAAAGTCGCGTAGGTGGGGCAGACGAATCTTTGAGATGGAACATATAAAGACGATCCGGGGAAGGCTGTATTCGGCACTCGTTTTCGCCGTTACGGGACTATAGTTAAATCGGTAACTTGCTGTAATTTAATTTAACGTTGATCATGTTGTGTCAACCGTTAGCGTGGACGCTTGCAGTCGTTCTTACATTTGCGTCGGCGGGGCCGGTCCCTGATTTAAGGAATATGTTAGTAACCGGTTTAACGATTCCGGACGACGATACAGGAGTTAAGGTAGCGCAATGGACCGAAGACATGAACGTGAATCCCGAAGAATTGGGCAATTACTTTGAGGGAGACGTCATGGTCACGGAAAGCACTACACGATCAAACGGTGCAAAAGACCCAAAGCTCCGTTGGCCCAATCACGTTATTCCTTACGTAATCGAGGGTAACTTCAGTAAGTATCTTCGAGAATAAAAGCTTAACTATTTTGTATTGTAGTTTGTTTAGCAATTATTCTACAATATATTGTGTTTACGGAAAGAATCAAATTTAATGCGTATTAATAAATCTAAATTCCTGAAAAATGCATCGAAATATAATAATTTTAGAATAAGATGAAGAAATTTTCTACTTGTATTTTGTATGTTTATTAATTTAGTTTATTAGATTGTGTTATTGTAAAATATCCACAAAGAATTAAAACATGTCGCAGATGTTATTTTGGAACATACTTTATTCTTAGAAAAATAAAAATAAAATAAAATAATAATGCTTACTTTATGATTATTTAATGGCAAAAAATGGAAAATCAGATATAAACGAAAAATTAAGTATTCGCCTGAGCATACAATAGATGGATAAACATTTTTATTCGAAATTGTTTCACTTTTATTATTTCTATTTATAAATTTTCTATTGCAGATAGGACGCAGTTGAAACTTATACGCGAGGCGATGAAAGACTATGAAAAGTATACGTGCCTCCGGCTTAAACCGAGGACGAACGAAAAGAATTATGTCAAAATCGTTAGCGATAATAGCGGATGCTGGAGCTACATTGGCAAGATCGGCGGTGCACAAATAATAAACTTGCAGATTCCTGGTTGTGTAACTAAAAAGGGTACCGTAATACATGAGATTATGCATACTGCTGGCTTTTGGCACGAACATACCAGAGATGACCGAGATGATTACGTGACTATCAATTGGAAAAATATCGAAGAAAGTACGTATTCGCAATCTATTAAAACGATGAAAGATTTGAAACAAAGATTAACTTCTTTTAACAAATATTTGATCGAAAGATATTTTGTTTTGTCATACATTAATATTTAATATCAACTAATTTATTTATAATTAATGTATCGACAATGTAGTAAGTATAAATTATTTTTTAAATCGGCAATTTTTCTATCTATCTGTAGGTATTTTTTTGCAGTTTGTGAAAATTTCTATCGCAATTCATCTTTATCCTTTATGACTTGAGAACTATTAATCATTTAACATTAAAATAACAAGCGACTTTTATCGATACACGTGACAAACACTGTAATAATTAAGTGAGATTATTCTGTAGATCTGCATTATAAATGTCTTTCCTTTGCCTTGTGCATTTAGGAACCGCAGGTAATTTCGATAAACTTTCCTCGGAGGTACTCGAAGACTACCACATCCCTTACGATTATAACAGCGTGATGCACTATTCAGCGTACGCGTTCGCCATAGATCACAATGTAAAGACTATCATAACAAAAGTAAGCGACCATCATTTTTACAAATGTTCCCTATGTCATTAGTTGCACTACTAGATTAATTATCTGAACAAAAGTAGATTCGAGATACCGACTTGTCAGTTTGATGTAGAAAAAAAGAAAATATTTTATAAGTTTACAAGTTATGTGTGCTGCATCGAATTACGCGTCTGTATATATTTATTTGTAAGTATATCAAAACAATTTTTTTAGTGACATTATGATCCTATAATATTGAAATTTTTAGAATCCAAAAGCAGAAATCGGGCAGAGAGTTGGCTTTAGTGCCTCAGATTATCAGAAGATCAACAAAATGTACAAATGTTCGATGTAATCGACAATTGGGATTTATGTCAGAGATCACTGACGGATAATTAGCTTTGATAATTGTTTTGTGTATTAACAAGAAATTATAAATTAGAAACATTCTTTTAATAAAAATCTATATATTATGAAAAAAAGAATATTTATTACTATAATGTATAAAACATATAACTACATATTTCACTTATTTATTATTATTAGTTTATTAAAAATCTACAAATTAAAAATAAAGAATTTTGTTACTTATTATTTTTAAAATAAAAAATAGAAGTGACGACTTTAAAAATGTTCGAAAGGAAGATTTCGATTTTGTCCTACATGTCTTTTATATATAAGCGTTTCACGTTTATACGTAGTCTTTTTTAATTAAATGTTTGTCCTTAGATTTTTATCTATTTTAAATAAACGTTTTTGTTTAATAAGAATATAATTCGGTCTTATTTTACTTATTCGCAATTTTATTAAGTATTTGAAGTTATTGGAAAAATTATGGATATTGTTTTGCGTTTCTATTGTGCATTTGAGTACAAGTAACGATAATGTCTCGATATTACAGACAACAATGCCATTAACAGCTTTTTATTTAGAAAAAAATTATTGAAAGTTAAGAGTTGTCAAATATATGTGCAAGAAAAAGAAACATTTATAGACGTGTTATACACACAAATAAATGTTTATATACAAATAATCGATAATTTTATAAGTACTTGTAATCATTAAACATCATCATAATATTTTATGTATATTAATTATTTTTGTAACGCTATATATTTTAAAAGAAATTGTATGTGTCTTGATCAAGTATATAGTAGCAGTGTCTTGATCAAGTGGTAGCAGTGGTAAGAAAATGTAATCTGTCGTAACTGATCCATTTTAAGACAACGGATGTGTAGAATGCTTTATACTTATGTGTAAGATCTTTATATTGTTAACAAATTTCATACACATTTATCTAGATATATAGTATATATTGATATACTATAGATATATGTATATTTAATAAGTTACCACACATCCGTTATCTCAATAAATATGTTATTAATTCATCACTCACCGACACCGATGCGCAACAGCGGAATTATATCTGCCACGTGGCTACGTTGGTTCTGTAACATATAAATATAAAATTTATATTAAAATGGTGTTTAAAAAACTCAATGTTTTAAAACATAATTCCTATAGCATCAAACTTTTTATTCATTGTTTAATTAAATATTTATTTAAATAATTATACATTTTCCAAAAATGTTCTTTACAAGAATCAATTCTTATAAAATGTTAAATTACTCCCTCGTTCTAGCTATTATTTCTAAATCATGGTAAAATAAAAAAGCTCAAGAACAAACAAAAAAATTACTCTTACACAAAATAAAAAATAATATTTACCGCAAAGTTGTTCCGCTGGCGCCCGATGCCTCTCCCAGGCCCTCCTCCTCCTCTCAGGTTGACCTCTCGGGTTGTCAGCTCCCTCGATGCCCGATAACTCCACCGGCACCAAAAATGCGAATAACAATGATTGCGCGATAATTAATACGGCACTCCCGAAAACATGAAATAACGCCCGATTTTGTCCGTCAAAAAATCGCCCGCGATAATAATGATTAAAATCGAGTGACGGAGTTCCGAATAATCCGACAACTTTGAACGGCACTCCCGAAAATGCGACGATTTTAATTGTCATATTCAAAAATACAACGATTTCGAGCGGCACTCCCGAAAATGCAACGCAACGAACCGTTTATACAGTCGCGAGTCGGCGGCGATTGTGTTTAGTTGCCCTGTTGTTCGGTAAAAGCGGCATTGCCTGTAAAAGATAAGATTACGCGTACGTTTAGGTCGGTACTCTACTTTGAAAGAAATAGGGATTATTGCACGTTTAATACATTGTCTAGAAAATAAAATATTTTAGATTATCATTAGACGTTCATTTCATCGACTACAATTGGCAAATGATCATTGATTTAAATGAACGTCTAATGTTTATTATATCGTTGGCTAATTACGAATATACTTTCGGTTTAATTTTAGATTATATTTTAAGATTTTATAAATATTCAATAAATTGTTTACGTGTCGATTATGTATTTCCTTATTACATTGTTCATGATATTATAAATTATTTGCAGTAACATATTTATTTAAAAATGTATAGATATAATATATTCATATATATATATATATAACAATTTAAAATTAAATACCTTTATATTGACAAAAAAATTAATATACACAATGATAATTATATTTAATCTAAATAAATACCAATCTAGATAAGTCTTTTTTTTATACTGCAGCAAATAATGCACGCATTATAGATTAATAAAGGTTACACTTACCAATTAAACAACTCTCGCGACGCCACTCGTTCTGCGGCCACCGGGACGGTCCTTTCCGTGTCCGCCGCGATCTGGAAATGAAGGAGAACGTCATCAATATATCGGAGACGCGTCATCTCCCGCGCGGAGCGCGGACAACTTCTCGTGCCAAAAGCCAAGAGTGCCGTGGCGTTGCTATACGCGTCCCGCTCTCATGATTTCGCGATCACAAATTTTCCGAATTACGATGAAAATCAGATACTACGCGCTCGCTCATATGATCGCGATCGTTATTCCGCATTCTATCGAATAAGCGTACTAATATTTTTGGCAGATATCCGCGATATTCGCGACAGATGGAAAATACGATCGTCCGCGATTGTCCCCGCGACGTACCTGCGGCCGAACAAGTACCGCGAAATACTTATTTTACTTACTTTTTTGAGAAATAGTTACACCCGAGCGCTGAATAGATGCTACGCGATAGGTGCTGCGTTAAACAACTCATGCAAGATGAATAAAGCTTACTCTCATCAATTAAACTGCTTTCGCGACGTCACTCGTTCCGGAGCCGATCCTTTCCGTGTCCGCCGCGATCAGGAAATGAAGGGAGAGTACGTCATCAATATGGCGGAGACGCGTCATC